TCTGCCTCTGCTTCCATCAGCCACTGGATGAAGGTTCTAGGATGGCATATAAGGTAGTCATCAATCTCATTATTGGAGAAGGGCATTTCAGGTAGCCTCTCCACTATTGCTTAGATTGCCAGTTCCTGTCATTCTTGTAGATCTCTGGAAATCTCATTGGTGTCAGATCTCTTCTCACACCTATAGTGACCCCCTCTATTATAGTATCTCTCATTCTGCTCTCCTCTATTCTTCCCCTCACTCAACCTTCCTGCTCCCACATGTCCCCTTCTCCCCAACTCTTCTGCCCCTCACTGTTCCCTCCCAGTCCATGCAGGAGATCCTGGTCTATTCCCTTTCTCTGGGATAGCATGCATATCTCTCCTAGCGCCCCCGTTTCCCAGGCTCTCTGGCAGTGGAATTTTAGGCTGGCACTCCCCTGTTCCTTGTCTAAAATCCATACATGAATGAATACATGTTTGTCTATTTGTGACTGGCTTACCTCACGGAGGATGGTTTCTTCCAGTGTCGTCCATTTGCCTGCAAATTTAAAGATTCCATTGTATTTTTCTGATGAGTAGTACTCCTTTGTGTAAATGTTCCACATTTTCTTTATCCATTCAACTAGGTCTGGCTATTAAAAATCATTCTGCTGTGAACATAGTGGAACAGATGATCTTGTTTTTGGTGTTTTGATTTTAGCCATTCTGACAGGAGTGAGATGGTATCTCGGAGTTGTTTTGATTCACATTTACCTAATGGCTAATGTGTCTTCTTATTAATTAAATATTTTAACTTATTTTATGTCCTGACTTCAGTTTCCCTTCCCTCCTCTCCTCCTATTACCCCCCCACTTCTCTTCTGCACCTCCCATGCACCCCTGTTTCTGTTCAGAAAGGGACAGGCCTCCTATGGGATCTATAATTCGTCTGAGACTTACTTGTCTCAGTAAAGTGCGGGAGCAAATGACTGTATGTGATCAAGCTTACCAGCTTAAAAGAGGAACAATCATGAAGGCAACGTGGGGTGTCTAGACCAAGTCTAAAGGGTCTGATTCCAAAACCATTCATAAATTGATCAAGTAAAATAAAAACTGTAGACTAGAAGCAACTAGACCCTTGTATTTAATTGTACTCTTCACCTTACAATGGTAAAAGTCATGATGTGGAAGAAAGTCCTCAGATAATAAATACCTTTAGATTACATCCATCAGACAGAAATTTCCCATGATAACTACCTTTCAGCCAATTATGATTTGGCTTTGATGGATACTGAATAAATGTTTGGTGGATCAAGGAACCACTTGTATAAATTTAATTTTAATTTTCCAAAATGCATGATTCACTTTCTCACTTCACTACAATTTGTTCAAAAATTTGACTCACCATCCATGATACAAATAGGAAGTCACCATGTAAACCCTGTCTCTTACTTGTTTCATCCTACATCTCTTATTAAAAAAAACCCTTGAGGTAGCCTGTGAAAGCAAAGTACGAAGAGGATGTTTTCGCAATTTCCCTCTTTCGCACGTATCTGAAGCAACACATGACACAGTGGTTGCCCCTAATCGTGACCAGCAGTTAGGTGTGCTCAGTGTTGATCCTAGCAGTTAGGTGTGCTCAGTGTTGATCCTAGCAGAGTTAGGTGTGCTCAGTGTTGATCCTAACAGTTAGTTAGGTGTGCTCAGTGTTGATCCTAACAGTTAGTTAGGTGTGCTCAGTGTTGATCCTAACAGTTAGTTAGGTGTGCTCAGTGTTGATCCTAGCAGAGTTAGGTGTGCTCAGTGTTGATCCTAGCAGAGTTAGGTGTGCTCAGTGTTGATCCTAACAGTTAGGTGTGCTCAGTGTTGATCCTTTGCCTCAGTCTTGCAGCATTGACTTCTGAACTTACTGGAACATTTCAGGCCATTCATTAAATATGTGAATTGCAGGATTCCCTAACATACAAGTAGGTTAATTGAAGCATTTGTTATATGGTGTCTTCTAAACCTCAAGGACTACAACATGGTTATATTGTAAGAAGAGCTCAAGCATCTTATCTTTTAATTGCCAAAGAACATTTTTCCTAAGTAAAAGAAAGATTGGAAAGCACTTCTATCGTATATAAATTTGAAACAAAATATTGATTTTATTTACATTTTAAATAGATCTTATGGTAATAGAGCTGGTCAAATGCCTAGAAATATAAACAGATGTTTACATGAAATTCTTAAGGATCATATTGCTTACTTTGAAAAAATCTTATACTCTGATAATTTCATATGTGCATATAATTAATCCTGATTTACACACACATATATGCATATATATATATATATATCTGATACTCCTCACTTCTCCTGAGATTGCCAAAAGATAACTCTCCCAACTACATGTCCTTTTATCTATTTTTATAATCTAAGTCCAACTAGGGTATATGAATGAATATGGACCACCTGACAATAGCCATGTCCATAAAGGAAACATACGTACGTACATACATATATGTATATGCCTCAAGTTTAATAGAAATACATTCATACAACCTCTCTGTGTGTGTTTATATGTATGTGCATATACGTACACACACATATATATACATACATACATACATACATCAGCATGGGTACTGATTCTCTGGCTCTTATAGTATTTTCAATACATCTTCCACTGTGTCCCTGAACCCAGTATAGGGTTGCATTGAGGTTAGCCACCCCACAGTCACTCATTCTCTACATTTTGATCAGCTGTGGATCTTTGTAGTAAGCAGCATCTGCTACAAAAGGAAGTTATTTTTGATGGGAGGTGAAACTACGCTTTGGATATAAGAATAAGTATTTAAAATACAGTTAGCAATTCTATTGGTATAGGAAAACGACAGTAGTAGGTTTTCTCTAGGGTACATGCCTTCTGCAAGCACAGACACTTCATCATGTTTACAGAATCAGGCATGGATTTCCTCCTATTGAAAAAGCCTAAAGTCCTATGAGATAGCTGTTGGTATCCCAAGATAACTGTGCCACTATTGTAACCACTGTGTCCCCACCACCAATCAAGAACTCGAAAAGGAGGTTTCCCATGACTGGCATGGGGGTTTTATTAGGAAGTCTAAAACTCTAGGGGAGCGTTACTATTACATGTTGTGTGACCCCCATTTAACCTACACACACACACACACACACACACACACACACACGCACACACATTGTGGGTACCAGAAATGTAAGTATTCACCTTATTTTAGATGTCATTATAAAAATATGAGCCATAGCAAGTGCTCTAGATGTAACTATGTGATATTTCACATTCATTTAGTATCCCCAAATAATTAATTGTGTGGAACTATTTGGAAGTGATGCTGCATGAGTGTGGCCTATTTTGTCATTGGCTTTTATTCTCAATGAGACTTTCAGGAAGTTTCTTCCACCAACTAACCCTCTCATCTAATTGATTAAATTCCATCACTGAATTAAACTCCTATCTACTTGACAGCAAAGCAGAAGAAAACAAAAAGCACAAAAGCTCAGCTAAGAGGAGAATTTCTTCATGACTTTCAATTTCTTAGATGATGGACAGGCTTCCCACTGTAGGTTAACCGAGGCCTACCCAGAAAGTTTCCAGAAAAGGCACACTTCTAGGAAATTACCAAGCCTTGGAGTTATAAGAGTTTCTGGTGTTATTCCCCTGTCAGTATTCTGAAAATACTAACCCCTAAGTTCTCAAAAGACCTCAATAACTGGAGCAGTCTATTAACTCTAATCCTGGTGAGTGTATTTTATTTACCAAATTCTAGGGTGGGGTATAGATATTGTCTTATTATTCTTAGTTAAGAGGTTTGATATATTGTCCAATAGTACATAGTGGGTACTCAATTTGGTGTTTCTTAAGTGAATTAGTGAATTCTAACTGGGCCTCAGGGAGGAAGGCACAGAGGTAGGAGGGGAAACTGAGAAAGAGGACCTGGAGCTCCGGTACCTCGATGCTCTTACTGAGAATACCACACTACTGTTTTTAACCCCAGTAACTGATAAACTGAAACTTGTCTTGATGCATCCGGCTAAAGTAGAGCCGGCATTTGAAGCACACTGCACATGCATTTCCGATAAAGCCTTCTTTTTATGAAGGCATTAGTTTCTCCCATTTACTTCTGGACAACTGAATTTGGCTTTTGATAAAACCTTTAAGATGCATTGGTGCTATTCTAGACTTTCTTAGTCAATATTAGATGCCCTATCAGAAGAAAGCACTGATCAGTCTGTGAGGTCATCTACAAACCAGCAATTTTCAGAATATAGAATTATACTATGTAGCAGGAAGTGGTTCATTTCTTTAATCAGTGGTTTGTAACAATGATATGCTTGCTTCTTTAAAGGGTAAGCTATGCATAGTCATTTATATGTGGAGTTATAATCCTATTCATAGCTAGGTAAATTTAATCCATACTTTGTAGTATAAGGGTAGTGTCAGGAATAATTAATTTATGTCAAATTGATCTTTATTTAGAAATGTAAAAATTATATATTTAGAAACACACACATATGTAACATTAAAGAAAAATGGGCAGTGAACTCGAAAGGGGCAAAGGAAGGTACCTGGGAAAGTTTGGAAAGAGGAAGGGGAAGGAGAGAAATGATGTAATTATAACCTCAAAGAATGAAAAATTATAGAACTATAAAACTGAATTCTCTAAATAGTCTCTTATTTTTGATAACAAAAATTCACAATATATTCTGTTTGATTTCATTCATTGGTTCGAATCTTTTCCTCTTGTACCTTTGTGTTCAATATGTTAAATTATTTTATTTTCATATGAACTTAGAAAATAAGTTTTGTTTTTCAAATCATTATAAAATTAATGATTTGTAGGCATGTAGGATTAATGTAGGCATGCCAAGGTGTGAGATAGGAAACATGTCATAGTATGTGACACTGAGAAGACAGGACAGGATTGCAATAATTACGGTAATGTAGGAGAGGGAAGAAAAAAATAAGAAACATTTACCCAAGTAGACACTGAAGTCATATCCTGACCAAAGGAGGAAGTGCCACATCACAGAGCTCAGAGTTATCTGATGCTGCACATCACAGACAGCAACGGCTGTTGTCTGTCTTCAATTGTCTCTGTAACAGCAGAAACTACTGACTAGAGGTGGTCCGAATTCAAAATGCTAAAAAGGAAGCCATCCAATGCTTCAGAGAAGGAGAAACACCAAAAACCGAAGGTAAAGCAATTTCTAATATCGCTAAATAAGCCAAGACTTCTTACTAGAAAGCACACACGTACATACAAACACACGACACACACACCATATACACACCCAACACACATACACAAACCATATAAACACACATACATACCCCCACACACAACTCACTCACTCACACACACATTCAAACACACACACATACTGAACTGACACATAGCATACATGCACGTGTGTACTTGACAATACAACTAACTATCACTCCCCCACACACACATTGACATTTTTATCTGTCATTAGTAAGTTAATTCAAGAGCTTAGTGCATCATACTACCAATGGAAAAATTCACCTGACAAAATTAGATGCCAATGGGCAATTCTGGTCTCACAATTTTGCATTAGATTCAAGTGTTTGTTGGTAGCTAAATTTGTGTTCAGACAATGTCATGGAAATCTGTTTAGTGATCTCTGTTTAAGCCATTATTAGTATTATGGACTCTCTTTGCACAGTTTCCATCACTGAGGTGTTCAATGTCTTCTCAGAGTACTGAATAAATTATTTTACCTCTTAAATTTAAGACATTTAAAATATGTAATTATAAGAAGACTATAATATGGAGATTTTGTGGGTTATTTTTATTTTCATATTTTGAATGTTATATTATGATATCTTGTTGTAGACATGCATTTATACATTGTCACTAGAGAAAGTATTGTGCCCTATTTTGAGAAGCAACAAAATTCATGTTAGTAAATTTGATAAGCCAGACTTATGTATTTTATTCTTTCTCTTGATGATAATTGACACAAAAATATAGAGAATAATCCAAGTTTATATTTTATTATATCACTATATTAGTTTACCAGTAACATTAATTTCTTTAGCATTAAATTTTGATGTTAGAAATGTTCTGCTATGTTTATGCATTTCTAAGGTTTCTCAAGTAAATGAAAATCCAATGTTTTTTATTGTTTGTGACATAAATAGTAGTAGATTGTGAACATTTTTAAAGAGTTGATATTTTCTTATCGGCTTTTGTCATTGTCAAAGAAACAGTTTAGAAATTATTGTGTCCTTCTGAATTGAGGTGGGATGGGGCATTGCTCAAAGTTTTGAAACCCTCTCCAACAAATCTGTAATAAAATGAGAATAAATTATTTCCAAATGTAAGAAATGGTTTTCAATATCACTTTTTTCTAACACAAGAATCCAGCAAAGCTTAGACAAGCCTCTTATAAAAGCATAGCAGAATAATATGTTGCAATTTCTGCCTTTTTCCTACCAAAATGGAAATTCAAAGCAATATATCCCAAAATTTACAAAAATCCTTTTCAAATATAAGTTTCACTTGTATTTCCTCATGTGATTTCTTGTATGTAAAATAACTCTGACTAAATGAAATAAATATGCAGTTGACAATAGTTTCCTGGGTGAATACAAAAATTAAAATAAAGCATCAGTTTTTCTTCCAAATGTTTTACATAGGACATCTGACTATTTCAAAGGACTGTATTACACAGTATGTTGTCAGTATAATAATGTCACTAAACTGTTTTCAAAATGATCTCTTATTGTTTGCAATGGGCTTAATCACAGTAATTGCTATAACACATGAATTATCAGTCATAACATTGACTTCCTCATATATAAAATAAATATACACTTGATGCACCAGAGAATAAAATAGATCACAAAAATAGCCACACAGAAAATATGTAAACATACAAATTTAAAATTTTTGTTATGGAACTAATAGTCCTCCAATTATCGCAACTATGTCTTAGGAACAACTCCTATTATTCACATTTATTTTACCATAGAAAAGTTTTGCACATTTTATAGGTAAAGAGTATAATCCAAAAGGGATGACAAGAACAGATTCCATTGTGATTCCTACACACAGATGGCTAGTAAGTTTACTCCTCCATATACAAACACCCCCATATTCAAGACTGTGTGACTCCTGTCTAAGAAACTCACAACAGAGCTACCCAGAAACTGGCCTGAAATGCAGAATGTTACTGTTTATGCTGATTATATATCAAATAATATTTTCCATATCCTGACCCACAGGCATTCCTTCTTTTTGTTGTGTTCTCAAGAGTGTGGAGGGGATTTCTTTTTTCTTTATTGTGACATCAAAATGAGGGAAATATTACCTAAACACATTGTGTATTTTAAACCTATATATGTAGCTGGGTGGTACAGCTCTGACTGAATCCATAGGTTCCATCCTCCAGTATCACACACACAGGAGAAACCTATGATACCTAATGTTACATTAAATAAAACCTAATGAATTTTTTAAAATAGAATACCAGTGGTTACTGAATTAGGTGGGAGTAAGAAGTTCTGGGAGGCTACTACATAATAAGATGACTATATATAATTAAATGAAGCATCTTCTAATGAAATTCTAAGTTTGGGGACTGTGTCAAGCTCAGTCTATATCTGTCTATCTAAGCATGTTATCATTTGAACATACGTAAAAATGCACAGTGCTGCATTCTGTTCCTACAATGCCAGAACTGGGAAGGCAAATACAGGCATAAGCCTGGAGCAGGCTAGACAGTCAGACTAGCCTAATCAGCAAGACCACGGATTTTCTAACCAGTGAGAACCACTATTTCAAAAACCATGACAGACATTGACCTAGGAGGAATAATACTGAGGCTGTCCAGTGGCCTCCACACATACATGCACATACATATAAGACACCTGCACACACACTCACATGCCCAAATGCATACACCCACATACACTCACACACACAGTCAAACACACACACACACACACAAGAAATATATGGATGTTGAGAAGGGTTATGTTTAAGCATTTACAAAAATTATGCATATACCAAAACATATGGTAGCCAGACTATGCACAATTTTTTCCTATATATCAGCTAAAAATAAAGTTAAAGAAATAGACTGTCACTAGTATTTTTCTAATAGGCCTTATAGTTGTGACATTAAAATGTTCATTAATGTAATATACAATAGATTTTAGAGAATACTATATACAAAATAATATATTTTCTTTTGTTTATAATAATCAGTAAATATGCCAATGAGTAAAACTTTAAAACAAAAAAATACAGTTGTCATAAATCTTACCTTATCATTTATGATGTACCTAACTTTTATATACTCTTTCTCAATTTTGCTAAGTTTGTTTTATTTTAGTAGCTTATATGCAAGACGAATATCATTCAAATATATTATTAAGCAATAAAAATAGGATGAGAGTGAGAAACCAATGTTCTTCTATTGGTTTCTCACAATTTTTCTCCCAAAAATATCCTAAGATATAAAGTACCTAACTATATATATATATAATAAAAGATTAATTAATTCTTATAAATTTAGTGTGTCCCAGACTTCCATCTGGCAATAGGCAATTTCCAAGTAAAAATGAAACTTGAACAGTGGCTAAGTATCCTACACTTATGTTAGTTGAAAATAACCTTGCTTTATGCACTATACTCCCTTTGTGAGTTTTATTTTTACTATTTTAGCACTAGTGCTTAATTCTGACAGTGATGTAGAGACCTGTAAGCATATCCCTATGCAGACTCAATAACCATTCATCTATACTGTTTATATGATCTATAAATGTTCAAATAATCATAGGACATAGTTTTTCTTGTGTTTATCTAAGATGTTTATTTTTGCTGCCTGTGTTTATTATTTAACAGTTGTTCTACATGGGTTTTCTACTATATTTACTACTTACTACAGCTCTGCTAGAGAGCAACTCTTCCAAGCCTCATAAATGAGGGGGCAAAGGCACATAAAATGTTACATATGTTTAACAAAATCAATTATCTTAACTGAAAATGCATAGATTAAAATGTGTTATATGAAAGAACATATGATACCAAGTTCCACTACTACAATACTGGTTGTTGTACTGTGTGGTACTGCCATTGTCTCTGTCTGTTAAATGCCTGATGAATTTTACAAAGACCAGGCAGACTCCATCTTTAGGAGCATTTGTACTTTGAAAAGGAATTTAGGGTCCCTCTCCATCTCCAACTAAATTCAGGGCCTGTACCTATGAAATCTCTCTAGGTAACATATTGCTCAAACTTAAGCAATTACAATTGTATACAGTTTTCTTAATTGCCAAGTGGTTTCAAAACATTGTTATTTTCTTAGCTTTCCAATGTAGTAGGCTCTTGACTGATATTTGAAAAATGAAAGTTTCATGAGTCTATTCATGGTGATTCTTGGTAGCAAGTTGTTTGTATGTGTTTAAACCCATCTTTTGTTCATTTATGAGTGTTAAAGAATCACTCCAATATGCCCAAGGCTGTTCAGGTTCCTTAGAAAGCTTATTATTGTTCTCTCATGATCAACCTTTGTTCCAGGTGAGGGAACATGCTAGAAAGTTTGAAAAGAAAAAGGGAATGTACCACAGAGATGAAATTCGGAACTGTAATTAGGACAAAGCAGTCTCGATATGTCCAGTATGGTAATTTGTGTAAATGCATTTTAACAGGGATCTTCTGTGAGTTAAGGAGATTCAATACCACTGTCATTGTAAAGGGAAACATTGGAATAATGGCACTTCTTGAAATAGCTTTTTAAAAAAGGTTCTTTTTAATCTAAAGTGCATACAAAATGAGACACCATTAGTGTCACAGATGCTAATTTTCACTAGCAGTGACTGAAGTGGCATTCTTTCCCATTTGCATTTGATCCCAGCAATGATGAGAGGTGATGAGTTGATTATGAGCTGTTTTCACTGTACTGCCCGCTGTGCAAATTTATGCTCCTAGACAGGGATGACACATAGTTGTGGCATTAAAGAGCTTTCTGCATTGCTTTTTTGTATCTAGACTGTTAAAGTGCTATTTAACTCTTATTTAACCAGGTACAGGAGAATGGAGGTCATTTTCATGACCTGGTTCTAACTTGAGACAAGACACTGCATGAAGAGTCTAAGTCCGTTAACTGTTTTTTTTTAATTCCTTGGGAATTTTATACAATGCATTTGATTATATCAGCCCCCC